GGGTCATTTCAGTTTTTGTCCCCCCCCCCCCACGGATGGTTTAAATCCGAGGGGTCATATTTTTTACAAAAAGTATGGATGGTTCAATTCCGAGAGGTGTCATTTTTTGACTATTTTTTTCTATATCCACACCCCTACAGATGATTTAATTCCGAGGGGGGGGGGTCATATTTTGGATTTTTTTTTCATATTATCCACACTCCCTACAGATGATGTGAATCCATGCGGTCGTAATTTTTAAGCTTCCAAGGGGTAGGTTTGTAAAAAAAAAGTGTCAGCCAAGAGACCTGGGGGAGGGTGTACGCCCTTTTAAATTGCATGCAGTCATACGTGGCTGTACCCCTGCTCGCAAACTGTTTTAATCCAAGAAAATCTATTTATTATTCTACGACTGTGCCGATCAAGCCCACATAAACATATCAGTCGCAACTTAGAATAAAGAATAAACCATTGTGTTGGGGCAAATAATTCATGTGTATACTTGATACATTCATTTAAAAGACTCTGACTTACTTGTACATTTCAGTTGTTCTCAAATTTCATTGGCATCCATGAACTGGAATAGTTCACATTATAAATTAAAATAAACTCGACATGTGGCTATTACATCGGACATTACAACACTTGTATACATTTTATTTATAATATTTGAAATCTCTGTATTTTACTGGCTGGCATAATTAGAAAGCTTCGCCTTCATTTCCATTATTCCAACTCTATTTTATTCACACGCGTAAGTCTGGTTTGCGCGCAGGTTATCATTAGAATGCCATGCACAAGTCTGATTTGGCCGGCGTACGCGCAAGTGGCATATATACAAAACTGCATCTCATCTTTTCCATAGGCAACTGCCCTGTAGAGGCACCCTTACATATACATTTATTGTCAAGATCATGAATGAACACAAATGACTGGGAAAATAAATTTGGCTTAGTCAAAAGCTTGGAAACTAGTCTATAATAGTTGGCCGAAGAACATTTGTTTTATTTGCCTGAGCCTTGGAATGAAAGACGTACATAATATAAAATATGATTTTGTGAATATACATCATGCATGGTCTCAGATAATGTTTAGAAATTTTAATGTTCTACGTATAATCACGCAAAGTATAAATTCAAAGTGTTTTAATACATTGGTGAGAGGTCGCATTTTACGTGAACAAGAACATGCACTAAGAAGGAAAAGCCGAAGTCAAAATT